TCCCCCCACCCCGCCCCTCCTCTGAGCCAGGGAAAACCGCCCCACCTCTGCCTCCCCCCACTGCCTACCGGCTTTCTCTAAGGAGTCAGCTGATTCTCTAGCTGTTCTAAGTCCCTGGGCTCACCGCTTTCCAATTGGACTTGGTGCCTTCCCCCCACCCCCATTTCTCCCAAGATCCCCACCATACCACCCCCGTCATCGGACCCAGTCAACTGGCAAACATCCCTGCCAGCTCCTCACCAGTGCCAGTTAGTCCCAAAGCCATGTCCTTCCTGCCTCTCCTCATGCCAACGCCCACTTCCACTTAACCAGGGAAGTTGGCCCACCCACCGACCCCAAATGCTGAGCTCGACCAATCAGATTCTCTTCTGGGATTTTGAACTGTGACAAGCTGAGAGGAGGACAGCAAGCTGCAGGATGTGAGTAAGCTAGACGCATTGAGCCTGCAGGGTCCATTCACATGGGGAGTGCCTGTCACAGAAGTCACGCAGTAGATAGACTGTCACCGGAACTGGACACCTCCACAGCCACCTCCCTGCAGACCAGGAGCCCTAGCAGAGGCTGGGCCACCCAGAGCAGATCCTCCCATTGTTTCCAGACTTGGTGCTCACCGGCCAAGGCTCGACCCCTCGTATCCCCGCACGTCACAAGCATGCCATGTTTCCGTCACCACAGGGCTGGGCACAGACTCTGCCCGCTGGCTGGCCCATCCTCCCCACACTTTTCTCCATCCAACAAACTCTTATGTGCTCAGAGTTGACATCCTGCTAAATCTTCAACATCCCCAAGGACTGAGCGGGGATATGATCACACCCCTATCACAGATGGGGAAGATGGAGCAGAGAGGGGGCCGATCCGAACTCCCCAGTTCAGCACGCCCTTCCTCCCCACATGTGGCTCTTGAGCACTCGAAATGCAGCTGATCTGAATGTTCTATGACCGTAAAATACTCACTGGACTTCAAAGATTTGGTATCAAAATAAAACCCCAAAAAACCACGCACATAAAACACCAAGTTTTTCTATATCAATTACATGCTGAAATGCTATTTTAGATATGCTGGGTCAAAGGGAAGACATTCCTGGGGCTAATCTCACCCATCTTTTAACTGTTTAAAAATGTGGATCCAAGCCCTGACCGGTCTGGCTCAGTGGATAGAGTGTCAGCCTGAGGACTGAAGGGTGCCGGGTTCGATTCCAGTCAAGGGCATGTAACCTGGGTTGCGGGCACATCCCCAGTGGGGAGTGTGCAGGAGGCAGCTGATCGATGTTTCTCTCTCATCGATGTTTCTAACTCCCAATCCCTCTCCCTTCCTCTCTGTAAAAAATCAATAAAATGTATTTTAAAAAAATGTGGATCCAAGTAAGTTTCAATAATGGGTATGACTCATGGTATTTCTATTGGACTGCCACCGCTCTAGGAAAAAAACTATGGCCCGTGGCCCATGTTTATAGATCTAAGAGCTAAGAATGGTTTCTACATTTAAAAAATATGCATATTTGTATTGATTTCAGAGAGGAAAGGAGAGGGAGTGAGAGAGAGAAATATCAACGATGACAGAGAATCATGGATCGGCTGCCTCTTGCACACCCCACACTGAGGATGGAGCCCGCAACCCGGGCACGTGCCCTTGAGGAATCGAACCGTGACCTCCTGGTTCGTAGATCGACGCTCAACCACGGAGCCATGCCAGCCAGGCGGTCTCTACATTTTAAAAAAAATTGTAACATAGGAAAAGTCAAGAACATGTGTCAGAGACCCTAAGTGGTTTACAAAGCCAAAAACATCTGCTCTCTGGCCTACACTGTACACCAGAGATTTCCCCAAGATCACCAAGATGAGTAAGAGAAGCAAAGCTTACGGGACACCCCGGCGTGCCACCCACAAGCCGTGACGCCCGGGTCCTCACGCTGCATGAGGGAGGTCCTAACACGATCAGCCCCATTTTACAGATGGGGACACTGTGGCTCAGGCGGGTTCCATACCAGCCTAACCCAGAAGTGGCAGAGATTCGTACCGGTCGGGTTCAAGTCAAAGCCAGGCTCTCCACAACCGTGCCGCCAGCCTGCCCTGACTCCAGGCAAACGAGCGAGTCCCCAACATCTATCTGCATTGGTGACTCGGTCCCCAGGCCGTGCGCCCCCCATTATAACGCACACTTGTGTTGTATTTTAAGCGCCGAGTCCTTGCCCGGTCCCCTCCTCTGCCCCATGCCAGCCGGGCGGTGGTATCAGATGGCTCTGTCTCCAATCCCAGCTCCACACTCACCAGGCCAATGATTCCCTCTCTCTGATCGTGAACTTCCTCCTCTGTACATTGGGAGTCACAGTCCCTGCCCAGAGCCCTCCCTGTTCATTGGCCCAGTGCTGAGCGCCCAGGGGCACTGGCTGCTTCGTCGTCAGTGTCTGACAGAATTCCAGAGAGAACCGCTGCATCTGGTGCTGAGGGCACAGGCTCCCGGAGGGCAGTAGAGCCGTGAAAGCTTGGGAACACTACCGTACTGCTCTGTGCCTCAGTTTCCTTCCCTGTGAAATGGGGATAATAATCCCCCTCCTCCCTGCCACTCTCTCTAAAAAAAAAAAAAAAACAAAGGAAATAATATCCTCAGGTGGAGATTAACAAAAAAAAATTATAATAATTATTAAAATTCCTACCTACCCTCTGAGCCCTAGAGAGGTTTATAGGTAGTTGTAACGAACTTTCAAAGAACAACTAATTACTATCTTATACAAAGTGTTGAAAAGCTCCCTTACAAACAGAAAAGGAAATATGACCCAATACTTATATGAGGCCGTACAAAGTCAATGAAAAACTTATAGCCAAAACCGGTGTGGCTCAGTGGGTAGAGCGTCGGCCTGTGGACTGAAAGGTCCCAGGTTCGATACCGGTCAAGGGCATGTACCTGGGTTGCGGGCACATCCCCAGTAGGAGATGTGCAAGAGGCAACTGGTCGATGTTTCTCTCTCATCGATGTTTCTGACTCTCTATCTCTCTCCCTTCCTCTCTGTAAGAAATCAATAAAATATATATATAAAAAAAAAACACAACTTATAGCCAAAAATTAAAAACAAATAAAACTTGGAGACAGTCTGCACAACAATATAATATACTTACTGTCACTGAATGGTACACTTAAAAAGGGTGAGAAAAGCCAACTTCGTGGTATGCATAGGATATCACAGTTAAAGGGAAAAAAAGATGAAACTAAATTCTGACTGTGATGTGCCCCAAATCCTGTCCAATTCCTACTATTTTTTATTTTTTTACTTCAGAGAGGAAGGGAGAGGAAGAGAGAGACAGGAACATCAATGATGAGAGAGCGCCCTGACCGGTTTGGCTCAGTGGATAGAGCGTCGGCCTGCAGACTCAAGGGTCCTGGGTTCGATTCCAGTCAAGGGCATGTACCTTGGTTGCGGGCACATCCCCAGTGGGGAGTGTGCAGGAGGCAGCTGATCGATGTTTCTCTCTCATCGATGTTTCTAACTCTCTATCCCTCTCCCTTCCAGCCAGGGGGTGACACCTGAGACTCGAGGCACTGGGAACGTTCTGGTTGACGGTGGGAGGTGGTGGGACATACGTGTTCATTCTAGCATTTTGCTTTCCAACTTACAAAAAAAAAATTATAATAATTATTAAAATTCCCACCCTACCCCCTGAGCCCTAGAGAGGTTTATAGGTAGTTGTAACAAACTTTCAAAGAACAACTAATTACTATCTTGTACAAAGTGTTGAAAAGATCCCTTACAAACAGAAGAGGAAATATGACCCAATACTCATATGAGGCCGTCCAAAGTCAATGAAAAACTTATAGCCAAAAATAAAAACCAAATAAAACTTGGAGACAGTTCTGCACAACAATATAATATACTTAATGTCACTGAATGGTACACTTAAAAAGGGTGAGAAAAGCCAACTTCGTGGTATGCACAGGATATCACAGTTAAAGGGGAAAAAAAGCTGAAACTAAATTCTGACTGTGACGTGCCCCAAATCCTGTCCAAT